CCGAGCTAAGAAGACCTTGGTTACCACTGAGGTATAAAATTATTACGTTTTGGCCACAGAGTTCAAAACATTGAAAGTAAAAGGACTGCGATCCCTGTGTTTGCTGTAGATGAGGATTGGGCATTAGGGATTAACTGATATAGAATATTTCAAGGAAAGGAATAGATATTCTTTCACAGCCCAATCAGTGGCTCTCATGTGCATTTGTAATGTACTGGCCCGGGTGCACTGGGCTGACAAAATTTGTGTGGCTGCACCAAAAATCTCTAAGAGATTTATCTCCGTTAAATTCAATTTTGGGCGTATTAAAACAGAGCAAAATTTTCGTTAACCACAACTGAGGTGTCATACACATGAATGTACAAATTAAGTACTACTTGGACCTGGAGACTCAGCTTAAACGTAAAATTCAGAGCCTTAAAAAATTGTACTCTGACTACCTCAGTACTGATCGTCATTTGCCTCCAGAGTTAAAAATCTGTTGTCTTAACCATTTCATTTCCTTGCAAAAGTTATATATCTAGACCTATTAAGGCAGCCTTCTGCCTAATGGTGTGTGTAAATCGGTTTTTCTTCCACCGAAAAGCTGAAGTCTATGAGACTCTTTTTACTTAGACAAAAGAAGATTTAATGCGACTTTTATTCATCGGATTCCTGCGTTTTCTGTTGTGAAATTTACGGATAAAGTATATTTTAGAAGAACTCAAAACTTCGTTCAACGTTTCACAAATAATAAACCGTGTTGAAAAATTCAGATATTAACGAATGAGAGTCACATTGATTAACGTAACTGTTAACCCCAACTACCTCTCGTTTTAACTTTGTGAGTTACTTTTTGTGCAGGATTATTGAATAACAAATTGTTTTTAGGCCGCGTTTCAATATTTTTAAAAACAAATTTATTAGTACCATAAAATTTTTCGAAATCAGTTTTTGCAGAAAAACCAAAGTGATTTGAGAGCGACTTAAGAAGAAAGAATTACTATTATTTATCCCCAAAAGGTTTGACCGAAGTCTTTGCTCAAAAATTCTGCCCAGCGGGCAAAATGAGATATACTTATGAAAAATTGCAACGAAACTTGAGATGTTCTGCAAAGTGACTCAAGCGAAATGGATACCGCCTGCTGTGAGGGGGCCGGATGGGGGAAAATAATCAAAAAAAGGGCAAAATAAAAGACTTGAACCACACTCTTCATCCTCCTCTACCAACATGCTTAGACGATACCTGTCCCTACACCCTCAGGCACAAATCATGATCAGCTGTACCTTTACAGAAACGTTACTACCAGTAGAAAGAGGTACACTGAAGACTTTTTCACTTTTAAGTATTTTGAACAAATGTGATGCATGTTCTGGTGTGGTGTATATAAGTTGTACTGCATACAGAAATGTACATAGTCGATCTTTTTAAGTTTTCACTGTATTATAACTCATTAATTCAGCAAGTTACTGCAAGAGAGTTTAATAAGCTATTGTCGGGAATCGGTTTTCGTCGACAAAGAAACTCACAATTTCTTGATTTTAACAGTTTTAATGGCCCAGCACTCAGCCTAGCTGTCACAATTCTCCTACTCTCTCACACTCCCACTACTCGTCTCATATATCAAAGGACTCAAAGTTCAAAACGGGCGAATTTGACGTCTAGCTGTCATCACCGGAAAACAGAAACTTGCGTAACGCAACTCGCAGTCACGACACTCTCCCCCTATTTGATACCGGAGGTGTCAAATATAAAACAAACGAGAATAAACGTTCCTTTAGTGTTCTTCTTGATCAGCAATAGCCCTTATGCGCTCTGTAGCAGCCACAGCCGCTCTCCTGGGTGTAAACACCCGAGCTGTAGGGTTAAGAACTGGATCTTGAGGTTTTTGGGTCCTGTCACAGGACAACTCCATGGGGCACAACTGTTGGATCGCCCGCTCCAGATAGGATTTGCCTGCTCTCAGTCTTGCTGCTCTGACGACTCCGTCTCTACCTTTCATTAGCTTCACCACGATCCCGAGGTTCCACTTTCCTCTGTTACGCTCGTCATTTTGGATTAACACGACATCACCTTCCTTGATAGGCGGTCCTCCCTTCTTGTGGTTGAGATTGTGCCTCTCTCGCAGGCTCTTGATATACTCCCCTGTCCATCGGGACCATAGCACGTCCTTACAGCGCCGAATATGTCTTGCACGTTTCCTCAGATCCCCGTCCTCCATCGAATCAACATCATCTTCGGGCAGCAGGTTGGGTTGACCGAACATCATTTTGTTGGGTGTCAGCATGGGTAGTTGGATATCGTCTTCTACATAAGTCAGGGGGCGGTTGTTGAGAGTGACTTCAACGTCCAGGATCACCTCTTCCAGCTCACCCCATGTAAGGTGGGCTCCCCCTATAGACTTGTACAAGGCCTGCTTTACAAGTCCTATCATCCTCTCGAATTGGCCGCCCCACCAAGGGGCCCTGCTTAAGTTGAATTGCCATGCAATATGGTGGTGGGCTAGGTAGTCATGGAGCTTCTCGTCCTTCATGATCCTTTTTAACCACTTTGAAACCGCAACGAAACTTCTCCCGTTGTCGGAGTACACTCTTTGTGGCCTGCCCCTTCTTGCTATGAAGCGCTTGAAGCTTTTGACGAATTCCTCAGCTGTTTGGTTAGTCAACAGCTCCAAGTGGATGGCCCTCGTGAGACTACATGCAAACAGCAAAATATAGGCTTTCCCGTCTCCTCTTTTCTTGCCGATTTTATAAGAAATTGGACCGGCGTAATCGACGCCCACTACTTGGAATGGAACTGAGCCAGAGGTACGGTCATTTGGAAGGTTTCCAGGAGGTGGTTTTTGAAATGCTGCGGCTTGGAACTTTTTGCATCCAAAACAACTTTTAATTGCCCTTTTTGTTAAACTTCTCAGCCGGGGTATCCAAAACTCGCCCCTGATAAAAGCCATAGTGAGACCAACTCCCCCGTGTAACGTCATGATATGTGCGTCCTGGGTTAACTTCTCTGACAACGGGGCATCTGGAGGAAGGTAAATTGGATAGCTTCCTTGTATTCTACCACGACACTCGTACAGCCCCAAACCATTCTTCTGCAAGTTGAGTCTTAACTGGTCTTGCTTGAAATATTCTGTTCCACTGTAGCTTTCTTGTGCTCTCCTGAACCACCACTGTGCTTGCTTATCAGTCTCAGCCGTTGTCAAAGGACCTCGGGTTCGTGCTTCTTTGCTCAACCTGCAGTTATCCAGGAAGCGCCTGATCCATGCTGTTACTCGGATTGTTGTCCAGTAGTTGTGCTTCTCTAAGATGTTATCTAGCTCGTTTTTTGTTTCTACAGCAGTCCGGAAGAGTTCCTTAGTTAACTTCGCTTCTGCTTCCGTTTCCTCCGTTGGTTCTGTGAGTAGATGAGGTGGCCAGCGCTCGAGATCTGACAACCATTCCGGTCCTTCCAACCACAGCCTGGGTAACTTGTCTCCATCACAGCCTCTGCTGCCGATGTCCGCTGGATTCTGGCTGGTTCCAACATGTCTCCATTCTATGAAATCTTTCTCTCTGATCTTCTGTGCCCTGTTT